ACATCATGCTTGGTAGGGTAGAGGGACAGCGCAGGAGGGGAAGACCCTCTATGAGGTGGATTGATTCAGTGACTGGGATAGTCAGGATGGGTGTGTCAGAGGCAATGCCATTGGCACAGGATAGAGCAGGGTTTAGGGCTGTTGTACATAGGGTCGCTATGAGTCGCAAATGACTCGACGGTACATAACAACAACAACAACAGTATATATGAAGTGATATTTCATTGTGACTTTGATTTCCATTTCCCCAGTGACGTAGAGTGTTGATATAACCATTCATAGGCCTTTTGGCCATTTTGATATTTTCTTTGGAGAAATATGTGTCAGCACTTTTGTAAGAAGGAGTGCTCTCGTTTTCCTCACTTTGTTGCCAAAGACATTGAGGCACAGAAAGACTTTATAATGTGCCTGAGCTCTCCCAGAAACTAGTACAGCCATGATTCAGATCAAGACAGCCTGCGTCCAGAAGCCTGGCTGTTATATCGCCTCTCCAGATGTGGGTTCAGAACCTCTTGTAGCATGTCCCCTTCGAATCCTCAGTATGGCAGCTGTGATGTCCAATCTGCTGGTTTGATAAGAGTTCACATGAGACAGATCTTAATTCACAAAGCTGCTCTGATATCCCAGGCTCTGTGCTGGGTTCAGTGGAGCCATAAATAAGACCTGGTCTTTGCCCTTGAGATGTTCCTTGTAGCTGGAGAGACAGTGGAGTGCATCATGATAAGTGTGTATCTGTCAGTATATACAATCTTGAGGACTTGATTCATGCAGAGGTGCTTTTTATTTTGACAATGATTTTTTTTTCCTATTCCTTCTTCAAGGAAACAGCTGAAAAGACCAAGAAGGTGAGCACCAAAGAGATCTAATGAGGAATCCAGGAATGGTGTCTGGAGCCCGGCACCTTCCCCTTCCCCTTCAGCGCTGAGTCCAGTATACGCAAGTGTCTGCTACAATCGCCAAATCACCAGTATTTGCTTGTATGGCAATGAGTTTTTATCTTTTTTGTTTTGTTTTGTTTTGTTTTATTTTGCAATAAAAGAAATGGGGGTGGCTGGCTAAAGTGAGGGAAGGCTGTAGCCTTCATGTCCAAAGTGCTTTGAAAAGACCTTCTCCTCTGTCAGCAGTGTTCAGGGGCTGGAGGCGAGTGAGGAAACTGCATCAGTTTTGGGAGAGGTAGGGACCCAGACTGGAACCCCTTCTGAGTCCATCCCAGTACTCAGCATGCTGCAGGGAGGGCAGACAGTGCCAAAGACCTCAGTCCCTTGTGACTGGCCCTGGAGGGAGGGATTTGGGAAGCACAATGGAGAAGAAGGCTTCCTGCTTCCAGCCACTTCTCTTTGCCATCATCATGACAGCTTGCCAGCAGCTTCCTTCCCTCAGACTCTCTCCCGGCCTCCAGCCTCCTGGCTGTTTTCCCAGGCGCCCTCAGATTGGGACAGCATTTTCAAGAGGGAGCACCAGGAATGCAGATACTTGTCTACTCCGAGCCCAGCCCCTTAGATACCTAACCAAATTTTCAAAAATTACCAAAGGTGCTATTTCTTTCTTTCTTTCTTTCTTTCTTTTTTTTCCAAGTTGACTTCGTTTTTCATTTATTATCACTATATTATTGTTGTTTTCATATTTTCTTGACTAGAAATGAACTTTTTCATTTGGTTTGTTTTTTTTTTGCGAGTAGTCCTAATCGTGTCAGAGGTGGGAGGCACTTGGGCTCTTCCCTGTGTCATGCTCTTTGGGCAGGGACACCAGCCAGCCAGCCTCCCCCCACCTTGTCACAGACTAGCTGCAGCCCAGAGGTTTCCCCTCTACCTCCATCCAGGGTCAGCAGTCAGCCTGAGAAGCAGGCCTCAGCTAGAAACCAGGGGAAGAAGCAGCATCTTCGTACAGAGCTATCAGGATCCCAAAGGTTTCTTTGTTTTCATTTCTTCTGCGAAGTTCAGTGCAAATCTGTATTCCTGTGGGTGGGGATGAGAGGCATGTGCAGCTAAGCAGAATTTAGGATTTAGCCCAGCCCACCATATGCTCATTGATCTACTGCTCACTAGAAGAGTGACTTTGGCCCTGACTTTCCCCCCATTTACCTCTTAAGTAGGTAAAAATTATTTAATCCTTATGTTTGATAAATGAATACCTTTTCTGGTTCTGTCATTGGCCCAGAGTGAGATAGCTTCCTGTCATTTTCCTTCTCTTCCTCGTGTAGCATGACCAGCCTGACAGTCCAGCCCAGGAGGACTGTGTTTATGCTTGGTCCCTAAGACCTGGAGTTTGTGCAGTAATATAGCAGCCCCGTGGAAAAGCTCTGGCCTGGAAAACAGCGGGCAGTAAAAAGCCGCCCTCATTTTGTCCTCACTTTTGAATTTCATGTTTAACTTCCTGGAGACCCTTTTAGAGATGAGAACAAAAAAAGTAGTTAAATCTCAAAAAGAGGGTAGGGAGCAGAAATTAAAGCTTAAACAGGATTTGGCCAAGAAGTCAGTTAGCCTTGTGTCTCCTGGCTTCTGTGTTGATTATCATTACCCCAGTACTATGTTAAAGATGTGTTTGGAATAAGAAGGATTGACAATTTGTCTTAAGATCTGACATAGAGGAAACTGATTCTAGATCATTTGCAGGACATTATATTAGCTGTAATGCATAGAAAACAGTGAGAAACTGTTGTCTATCAATTCCCTCTAAATAGCCTTTCTTGTTTTCCTCTGAAAGGAAACTTACCCATTTTCTTTACTATGCTGGGCTTTTATGTATCATCCCATTTAAAAGCTCTCTTCAAACCCCACTTGTGCAGTCCAAAATGCACCTCCCTGTCCGAGTGCCTTGGAGAGCTCCCAGCAGCATGCCTTAATCAAAGAAAGTTCTGCAAGTCCTTGAACATTTTAGGGAAGATGGCTCAGAGTATTGGTTTGTTTAAATCTGAAGCCAGGCTGCCTCTTCACCATTAAATTTAGGCTCAGTTGCCATCCAAGACTCCACCACCCAGCAACACTGAATTCTCCAGAGCAAATCAACATTCCTCCTGAGCTCTGCTGTTTCTGTGTAAATAGGGCAGCTGTTGTCTGCACCAGAGAATCACATAATCTGAGGGCCATTCATGGAAAGCTGCTGAATAGCCTAGTTTGAGGAACCTTGCCTAGAGCTTTGCATGGAGCAAACAAACAGGATTAACTTGGGTTCAGTCTTCTAGTCCTCTGAAAGCACAGAGCTTAGACTACAGGCGTCCTCAGGCTTCCTCTGTGTGTGCATGGGGCTTTATAAACATGACAGCATCTGTTAAGACCCAGTGTCCATGGAAACCTTCCCATATGTCATAACTCCGGACTCCATCAGTGTTTGGGAGAGCAGGACTCCTCCACCTGCTAATAAACCCATGTGGACCAAGCTCTCAACATTGTTCCTTTTCATCTGTTTTTAAAATAGTCAAACTTTAAGAAACTAGTTGAACAAGTTTCTGTTGCCTTTGTGTTTGTGAAATGTATTTGTATTTAGTAGGCTTCCATATTGCATTTAACTTGTTTTTATAATTTCCGATTTTTTGGATACTATTGATAAATAAAGAAATTAAAGTAATAATTTTATTTTTTTTTGTCCTTTGCCCAGTTGAGGCCAAGACAAGGTGTGCTGTGAGAGCATGAAAGCATGGCCCTTTAACCCTGTAAGAGTGGAGTTGGGTATCAAGAGCTTTACAGGGGATGTGGGACCTTTGGGTAGCACTTGGCTACTCACTGAAAGGTTTGTGGTTAAAGATGCGCCTCAGAAGACAAGCCTGGATATCTACATCCAAAAAGGGACAGCCATTGACTGGGCCACTAACTGTGGAGCACAGATCTGCTCTGAAACATGGGGTCATCATGAGTAGGAAATTGGATGGATAGCAAATGGTTTGCCATTAGAAATTTTTTTGCCATTATTATTTTTTTATCATTTCAAAGTTATAATAGCATGCAATGCTTTGAATAGAAAATTAAGAGATAAAAAAGTTTAATTCTGTATAACCTCATGTTTGTCAGATTACACTGGTCTATTTAAATGAATGTTATAAAACAAAGTATCAATGAATCATGGCATGAAAACTAAATGTGATTTGTAAATCTTCACTCAAATAAAATTTCAAAGAGGAGATTCTCAGGAGTTCCCTAAAAGAATTTTGAGCCTATGGCTGGGAAGGAAATTTTATTTAGGACCTGGTAGAGCAGTTTTGTTAAAAGTCATAGATAATAAGTTTGTGGTATGAGATGCCTGTGGAATGTTCCTGTATTGAAACAAGATTAAACTAAATGACCCTTGGGTCTTGTGAGGTTAGAATGGCACCTGCTGGCATCATAACTGACCCTCTTTATAATTTTCAGAGACTGAAAATAAAGAAATAAATAGGATGGAAAGAGAGTGCCCGTCTTTCTCCCTTGGAGCCTCTGGTGGGTTCTAACCCTGCCTTTGGGCTGACATCACAAGGCTTTACTGCTAGACCACCAGAGCTCCCTAAAATCATAGAGTTAACAGAAAGGTAAGGAGGTAACATGGACAGGAGTTAGCAAGTGACCGGTTATGGGAGTTTAGACAGAGATAGCAGTCAAGATTGACTCCACATTTTTATAATAACGTGGTAAACTCTTGTACTATTTCCTGAGTTGGTTAGAGAGCAGAAGCCTCTTGGCTGCAAAGTGAAGAGAGAACCAAAGTGAAGAGAGAGGCCATTTTTCCCAGGGTGAATCTGAATTGCCACAAGACTTCTAAAAAGGTCTTGTGAGCAGATTGAAAGGTTCTACAAGAGATCTGGGTAGGAGTTAGAGATCTTAAAATAAACAGTGCTGAGATAGTATTTCTGGGTCAAGAAAGAAAAAAAAAAGATCATTATTGAGCTGGAAGGTCTGTCATAAAAAGAGAAATTCCTTCTAAGAAACGGTACGTGTTGCTCCTGAGTTCTCCAGGACTTCCTCAACAAAAAAAGGATACAGAGATGGAAAATGTAACAGTGGTTAAATTCTATATTAAAGCCTATGGTGTAGAGAATTCAGACAGGCAATGATATTATGGCATCCAGGGGTCAGAACTAAGGAGGAACCATTATGCACTCATGGAATGAAGTAACACAACGTGCTGGAAAACAGGTTAAATAAATTTAGGAAAAAGGGAGAAGAAATGTGCCTCAATGATTAAATGATTATCACAGGAATCTTAGCTGACCTAATGTGTGTCATATGACAAATTCCCAGAAACTTGACAGTGTTACAACCAAAACAGACTCAGTGGCCCTGTAGGACAGAGTAGAGCTGCCCATAAGGTTTGGAAAACTAGTCAGTAGGAACAGGCTGCCTCTGTATTCTTCCTCAGTATGTCTGGGGTTTAAACTGCAGATTTTGGAGTTTGCTGTTAAAAGAGAGACTTGCCTGGAAAAATAAAAAAGATGTGCTTGACAAAGGGGGGGGGGACGGACCGTTAAGCAGGAAACTTGTATAAAATTGTCAAGATGAAACCTGTTTGAAAGGAAATTTTTTTACCAGTGGTAAACTAATAAAAGGGACATTAGCCTTCAAGTTCTAGTCTTAGTTTTAAATTATACAGGTTGGCAGAATTGTGTCATTTTCCTGGGGAATTTAGACAAATTGCATAAACAATTTGTTCCAAAATTATTATTCCCCTAAATGTTAAGTTCAAGACTGGTAGCCAGTAATTTACATATTCTCATATAACCTTTGTTTTTCATAAATGCGAGTCATTCTTCACTTAATTTCAACATCTTTGTGATTCTATAATAGCATCATTCTCATTGTAATTTGTAATTGCTGTGTTGTTATGTGCCTTCAAGTCAGAACTGACTTATAGCTGACCATCAGATTTTCAGAGGCACTAAATCACATGGGAAGAGATTGCC